TGGCATCAAAAATGGCATTGTCAATAATTCTGCGTAGCCTTTCCTTAGAGCTCTCTCCATCCTATGTCCACGCCCCCATTGTTCGTGTCACCACCCAGCCTCAGTATGGGGCTCATTTGATCTTGCGCAAAGTCTAGAATCAGAAGATGGAAATTCTGGTAGCTTGGACCAGAGCATATTGTTTATTTACGTGAGCAAGAATGATTTGATGTGTATGTTTGATGGCAACCTCAGTATGTGTCTGTTCGCTAATCAATGTTGACGTTTGAGTGAATGACTGTGCTATACATGTTTCGAAACTTTAATGTCACCTGTGTGATTTGTGATGTCTTTCATGTAAAAGTACTCTAATAGAATAAAGGATGCCTGCTCTTGAGGCTTCATATCAGTAAATTCATTTGAAGTAATTTTTTTTTACAATTTTTTTTGCGAGAATTATTTGCAGAGAATAGTTGTAACTTGCTCCATCTTGCTAGAAGTCCCTCAGCAGAAAGCCAGAGGCCAGAAACTTTCTGATTCTATGGAGAGGATATCTTTTTGGCCAAAAAAAGAGCCGAAAACCAGATTTTCTATATGTACATAGATAAGAAGCAGTTGTGAAGGGTACCGTTCACAAAATTTTTTCTACATCTCCTGGAGGGTTAAGTCATTTGAGATTTGGATCGACCAATTGGCTTAGTAGAGTCTTCAAATGTGTTTTGAGTATGAGAAATTAATTGATTTATGATAAAATTAAAATCATGTTTCATACACAAAATTATTTTCTGAGTTTGTGGCCCGAAAATCTATTCAAATCTGGTAGACCTTCATATCCAGATTTCCCTTAATCAATTCAATAGTTGATTGGTGATTAAAAGTTCTTTCTAATAGCCTGTTTTCTTGTCCGACTAGATTCTTGAAATCAATGCAATTTCAATTCCAATCAAGATTCATTTACAACCTGCTCCCTTTCCTTTGATTTTCCCAACAAACATCTTTTCGATACTCTTGGAGTTTATCTTTCTCCTCTAAATAACCAGATGTTTTCATTTAGCTATCATCTGTTGGACTTTTTTGCAAGTCAAAAAATTGTTAGTGTCCATAAAACATCTAAGACTTTTTTTATTCGTTTTGTTCTTGTTTTTCCCTATAAAATAGTCTAGAAGAGTTTGTGTAGAGCCTTGATCAAGTTTTATTTGAAGCATAGCAATCTAGTTGAGCTGTAACTTACAAACTAGTTAATTGTAAGTGAAACTTGAAGACCTTACACTCTGTTTGGATTAGCTGTCTTTGGGGGTGTTTTTGAAAAATTTTGTTGTAGCAGAGTTTTTAGATTATATTTTGAGATATTTTCAGAAAATATTTTGGGATATTTAAGAGTAGAAGAGTTTCTAGAATATATTTTGAGATATTTTTAAAATTTTAAAAAAATTTAAACTGATTTTTAAATTACCTTTTAGAGTACTTTTAAAAAAATTTTATTGTATTTGAAAAACTAGTTTTTGAAAAACACTCCCATGCAACACCACTGTAAAGAGGTTTGAAGTAGAGTGAGATTTATCACTGTAAGAACAGAAATCTTGTTGGTTAAAGGGGATTTAGAAATCTTGCAGCTGTATATAATTAATCAAATACTAACAATCTACTAAAAGGAATTAAAATTTTCATTTTCTGCCATAGTATTTGCTAGATTCCTTACAGTTTCTAGGGTCACTACTATACATTGACAGAAGGGAGGGCAAATATTTTTTTCATAGTATGTAAATTTACACTTGTTATGCTTATTTTGTGGGATGCAATAGAGATAAGGGATAGGCCATTGTACAATCCCCAAAAAAAAAAATTTTTTCTTTTTTTTAGCAATTACTCTGCACATATGTTAACATGTCTTATAACAAGTAATACTCGTTGTGGTGATAGTTGTCTAGGCCTTAACTATTATGCTTCCTTGAGCTATTTATTGACATTTTCCCTCAAGACCAGAATTAAAGGACGAACACAAACTTGCCAAGTGAATTTTACACTAATGATAACCAAAAAAAGATTAATCATATCTTAATTATATAGCGGAAAAGGTCACGACGAATTTTTCAGACAAAAAAAAAATCTCTAATTTTTGATTATTTTTCAGAACCCTAAAATGATTTTTGATTGAATGAAGTATAAGTCTCTTCGCACAAAAACTTTTTCTTTTATCTCCCTATCAGCTTGTATTATGAACACAGGAAAAAGGGTCATGAGACAAATTAATTTTGTCCTTAAAAAAGTCATCCAATTTAATCAATATCTAAAAGCTACCAGAACTTTCTGTGTTTTGCAGGAATTTAAAGAAAGCAGAGATGAAGACTAAAACTCTAGGTATAGGCTGTATATATAGCTGAGTATGGGGATGAGGCATCCCGGTTGTAACACCTCTATCCACTGGTCAGCTGACCAAAATAGATACAATTAAGGCACAACTCTGCCAAAATTATCATCCTACCACCAAAACAGTTAGCAAGGTTCCAAAACTACCTAGTAAAAGTGATAACAAGTGATGAACTTGCTATAGCTAAGCCAACTCACTCTTCTCTGCATGCTGGATAGAACCAATGGAAGTGTAAAAAACTCAATATGGGACGTATTTAGTAGAAATAGGAAGGTAGATGAGTTTAGGCAACCGGCGTACCTCAAAAGCGTATATTAATAACGTACAAAATCAAAGGAACTGACCTACGAAATGAAAGAATATGATGGATATTGATGCAATGCTAAAGTTCTGGGAGCTTAAATTTAAAACACCGCATACAAATAGCCATATTTTGCAGGCAATTTTTTTTTTGTTTTTTGATGAAAAAAAGTTTGGGTGAGTTCGACTCCGATCACCACCACGAGTCAGATCAGAATTCTGAAACCATAGGTCGCTTACAGAGGTATTTATAGATCACCTATCAACACAATCCTGACATCGATAGTGAAATTCAAACACACGATCTTTTGTGAGGAAGTGGCCTATTCTTATCAACTGAATCAACTTGTATTTAGGGCAGAAGATTCGTTGCACAAAATCCATGATGACGAATAGAGAGTAAACCACAGAGCAGCAAAGGACAGCAATGGCACAGCAATGTGGACAGATCTATTGAAGTGACGAAAGCCTGAACTCGCAGAGTAGCAAAGAAGAAAGAGTAATCTCGGCAAATAAGTAATGTTATTTTGAAGTTTGTGGGAAGAAACATCAGTGAACCCCTGAAATTATGGCCTGTATTGTCTAAGACTGCCATATATAGTTAAATACTCGAATTTTGGGAACTATCGTCTCCTACTCTCGTAATGCAATCGCTAACAAGTGATATGCGAATGCATTTGAAATTAATTTGTCCGGCCATCATAAATACATTGTACATGCAATGTTGAACATTTTTATTCAGTTTTCAATTTGCAGGCCAAGGACATGAAATGAGTGACAAAAATTGGCTTAGTTCACAACGAAACATGTTTAATAGTATCATGCATGCATTTATAGACTAGTCCAAAAGCCACGGACGTGTTCCTAATTTCAATGATGACTATCTTTTGAATTGTTTGTGGTTGGTGTAGGGCTGCAAACGAGCCAAGTCGAGTCGAGTTTTGAGTTAATCGAATCGAGTCTCGACTAAATTTTACCAAACTCGAGCTCGACGAGCCGGCAAATTTCGAGCTCGAGCTCGAAAAAAAATAAAAAATAATTATTTTATTTTTAAAAAAATAAATAAAATAATATTTTTTTCTTAATAAATAATAAAATATTAAGGATATATACGTAATTTTACTATAAAAATAAAAAATAAAAAATATATATATAATATACGTAATTTTATTATTAAATAAAAATTTAAAAAAAAAAAAATATATATATATATATATATATATATATATATATATATATATATACCCAAGACTCGCGAGCTAACGAGCTTAATATTTTGAACTCGAGTTCGAGCTCGAGTTTCACTCGAGGCTCGCGAGTGGCTCGATTCGTTTGCAGCCCTAGGTTGGTGATAAAATTTTTTTTTTATTCACGTACTTCTGACTTTGTAATGGTACCACTTTCGATGGCCTTTGACGGCAAAATCAGGACCGAATAATATATAGTCTCCTTCAAAAAAATAGTACCATATTTCCATATTTTTGTTTGGCTTTAAAATGTTCATATCAATAGTGAAAACAAGGGAGCCAAGCAAAGTATACTACTTTTTTTCCTAGAAATGATAGGTTATAGTGTAAAAAATTTCGGGTGGTCTCGGAAATTATGCAGCCAACAATTTTTGTTCAAGACCTGAGTTTTGAAGTATGGAGACCATATAGCAGATGAAGAAGAGATATATTGGGTAGCCAATTATCAATGAAAAAGTGGCGCCAATATTTTCCACGGAAAAATTGTATAATGTAAACAAAGTATTTGAACATGTGCAATTCAAATGGGTTTTCGTATTTTTCATAAAAAAAAAACTACAGTGATTTTACGTAGAAAAATCGCAATCCAAACGCAATATAAAGCATATTAAGTTACATGCATGTTTTTATTAATTGAGTCAACATTATGACTCAAAAATAGAAGGTTAAGTGACCAAATGTAGAAATTTTAAATATTTTAGAGGCCTTTCACATTATTTGTTGCTTGTAGTTGTTTTAATTCGTAAATAGTAAATTGTTAGCCATTGTCAAATATTTCAAAACTTGCACCATTTTATAGAAAGTAAATCGCGTAAATAATTGCTAAAATTTTTATAATTTCTTGTTATAGTCAATAAACTTTTTCTTAAGCAAATTGGTCACTCAACTAATCAAAATTAAAAAATGTGCCGCATTGGTCGAGTCACTATTTTAACTAAATAAAAAAATTTATTGACCAAAACAGCGTATTTTAAATAATTTGGTTACAATTTATGCCATTTTGTACTTATATTAATCATTTTTTATATTGAATCTTTTTATTATTGCCTTAAATAATAATCTTCTTCTTATTATTCCCAGTTTCAAAATTTCCCTTTTCACTTCTTCACTCCCAGCGAACGCCCGGACTCACCGTGCACACACAATAATTCAAATCCTTCCGGCCGCCGCCCCCGAAGCCACCACCACCGCCGGCTCCATTTCTTCCTAATTACCTATAATCTCGCCCAATCTTTAGTTTCTCATGGGAGAATGAGTAAAGGGTTCCTCAGAAATGCTATATCCATTCCAGTTCTCTGCTCATCCTCCGGAGACCCCCTCTTTTTCTCCCTGAAATTCTTCACCAGACCCATCACTACTCAAGAAAATAATTGGGATGCTTTTACAGATGTAGATTGCAATTTTCAAGAATTTGAGTCTTTTCCACCTGAAAAAACTCCAGCCAGTTCTTTTTCACCCCAGGAATATTCCTTTTTGAGGGACTCATTGTTGGAAAATCCAGGCACTGAAGCTACTTCAAAAGCTCAAAACTTGGAGACTGGTAATTGTTCAGATGATGCTCTTTTGATTCTTGATGCTGTAAAGAATAATGATGATGGGTTTGGGGATAAAACCCAGAAATTTCTTAGGCAGTTTAGGCATAAATTGGATGAAATTTTGGTTGTTGATGTGTTAAAGAATGTACAAAATGTTCAACTTGGTGTAAAGTTTTTCATATGGGCTGGTAGGCAGATTGGGTATAATCATGGTTTAGCTGTTTATGACGCTCTGTTAGATTTATTGGGGTGTAATAGAAATGATAGAATTCAAGAAAATTTTCTTCAAGAAATCAAGAACGATGATAGAGAGGTTCTTGGTAAATTGCTGAATGTGTTGATTAAGAAATGCTGCCGAAACGGGTTGTGGAATTTGGCACTGGAGGAGTTGGGGAGGCTTAAGGATTTTGGATATAAGCCATCAAGGGCCACGTATAATGCTTTGGTTCAGGTTTTTCTGAGAGTTGACAAATTGGAAAGTGCTGCTTTCGTTCATAGGGAGATGTTGGATTTGGGATTTAAGATGGATGCCTATACATTGCTGTGTTTCACACGTTCTTTGTGTAAGGAGGGTAAATGGAGAGAAGCTCTAGATTTAATCGAAAAGGAAGAATTTGTACCAGATACAGTTATGTATACTAGCATGATATCCGGATTGTGTGAAGCTTCACTTTTTGAAGAAGCTATGAATTTTTTAAACATAATGCGGTGTAATTCATGCATTCCTAATGATGTAACTTATGAGACTTTGCTTTGTGGTTGTTTGAATAAGAGAAAATTAGGTAGGTGCAAGAGATTGCTGAGTATGATGATTACAGAAGGTTGTTATCCCCGTCCGAAGATATTTAATTCTCTTGTGCATGCCTATTGCAGGTCAGGGGACTACTCTTATGCCTATAAATTGCTTAAAAAAATGGTTCTTTGTGGTCATCAGCCAGGTTATGTGGTCTACAACATATTGATTGGTGGTATTTGTGGCAATGAGGAGCTGCCTAACTCAGATGTCCTAGAAATTGCTGAAAAATGTTATGATGAAATGCTTGATCGAGGTGTTGTGCTAAACAAAGTGAATGTTGCCAATTTCAGCAGGTGCCTCTGTGGGGTTGGAAAATTTGAAAAAGCTATGAAGGTGATTCGTGAGATGATGAGGAAGGGCTTTATACCAGATGTTAGTACATATTCTAAGGTTATCAGTTTTCTTTGTAATGCCTCAAAACTAGACAATGCATTTTTATTGTTCCAGGAAATGAGAGGCAATGGCATTGTTCCTGATATTTATACTTATACAATGCTTATAGACAATTTTTGCAAAGCTGGCCTTATTCAACAGGCACTCAGCTGGTTTAATGAAATGGTGAAGGATGGCTGCAAGCCCAATGTGGTAACATATACTGCTCTTATTCATGCTTACCTTAAAGCAAGGAAAATGTCTGATGCAAATGATCTATTTGAGATGATGCTAACAGAAGGATGCTTACCTAATGTTGTCACCTTCACTGCTTTGATTGATGGTCATTGCAAAGCTGGAGATGTTGAAAGGGCTTACCAAATCTATGCAAGGATGGTGGGCAATGAAAACATTCCGGATGTAGACATGTATTTCAGGGGCAGCGATGAAAGTGCTAAAGAAGTGAATGTTGTTACATATGGTGCTTTGGTTGATGGTTTATGCAAAGTACACAAGGTAAAGGAGGCCTGTAATCTTTTGGATGTAATGTCAACTCAAGGCTGTGAGCCAAACCACATAGTATATGATGCTCTTATTGATGGATTTTGCAAGGCTGGGAAGCTAGATGAAGCACAGAGTATATATACACGGATGTTGGAACGTGGGTACAATCCAAGTCTTTATACCTATAGCTCTTTTCTCGACAGGTTATTTAAGGATAAGCGCCTTGATCTTGCTCTTAAAGTATTGTCTAAAATGCTTGAAAATTCCTGCGCTCCTAATGTCGTGATATACACAGAGATGGTTGATGGCCTTTGCAAAGTTGGGAAGACAGATGAAGCTTATAAACTTCTGTTAATGATGGAAGAAAAGGGTTGCCAACCAAATGTTGTGACTTATACTTCCATGATTGATGGCTTTGGTAAAGTCGGTAAACTGGATAGATGCAGTGAGCTTTTTCAGAGGATGAGTATGAAAGGTTGTGCTCCAAATTACATTACTTATGCGGTATTAATAAATCATTATTCTGTGGCTGGTCTCTTAGATGAAGCGTACCAGCTGCTGGAGGAAATGAGAAAAACTTATTGGCCGGTACAAATGGCAAGCTACCGTAAGGTCATTGAAGGCTTCAACAAAGAGTTTATAACGAGTCTTGGCCTCTTAACTGACATAAGTCAGGTTGATTCTGTTGTTCCAGTTATTCCAATTTACAAACTTCTAATCCATAGCTTCAACAAAGCAGGGAGATTGGAGGTGGCTCTTGAGCTGCTTGAAGAGATCTCGTCATCGTCCTCGTCTCCATCTACCATGGCAAACATGTATTCATCTCTGATTGAGAGCCTCTGCCATTCACACAAAGTTGAGAAAGCCTTTGAGCTGTATGTGGACATGATAAACAGGGGTTTAATTCCTGAGCTTGGCGTCTTTGTTAATCTTATTAGAGGACTAATCAATGTCAATAGATGGGAGAATGCACTTCATCTTTCGGAGAGCTTATGTTACATGGTACAGAATTCTTCACTCCTACTGTGCCTTTTTTAAGTTCATGTGCATGATTATGGATTTGTGTTTGTCATGATATCGAGCCTTTGCTATCTTTCTCTGTCTAACAATTCCTGAAGACAAAAATATATAATGCAAATAAAGAAGGGGAAACTACTGGTATAATATGATGATAATAAGTAAGAAGGGAAAATGTAGCAGCAAACAGGCATTGTGTTTACCCTTTTTAACTGGAAAAAATAAACCATCATTCAGGTCCTAAAAAATTTTTGACCGGGATGGTATATCTTCAGCAATGGTTCTCTGTTTAGGCCATTTTCCTTCTTTTGCTGAAAGGAAGTCACTGGAACATTGCACAGAGTGGATAATTAAGTAGACACATGTATCTCCTTTCAATTATCATTTCTCCTTTTTATATAGGTCACACATTGGTCATCCTTAACATGTAATATCCTTAACTGTAACATTACCTGACTGTTTAGTTAGATCTAGTTTCAGATACTTCCACCATTTAGTGCTAAAAATTGATTGGATTATTGTCATTTACAAATTGATATTTATCCATGAATCAGATCGTCTGAGCATGTTTTGTTTGTAAAATATGTCAATTAAAACCATCTAGTGGAGCTTGTCTGCAAAACTAGCAGAGCCTGCTGAGAAGTCTAATTTAGCTCAAGTTGCTGCACAGATGTCGATTCAGGATATAAGGAACGCCTTGAATCTATCTAAGCACCAATTTGTGCCATTTCTTTTGCTTTTTGTGACTGGAAGATACTTTATATGGCAAGAAGAAGGGGTAATAAATAATTACAAAATGGTTTACTTGAGCTGAGGGAAGATGGTGAAATTCAAGCATAAGGAACAGAATAAGAATGACATAGGTACTAAGAAGTTTCATTTGAAGTTCTTAACAATTCACAGGTTAATTACGTAATGTCAAATAATGTTGCATACATGACTAAAGCATCACGAGAAAAACGTATTGACAGAGATACATTATCCACTGCTTTCAAGGCTGGCTCCATCACAAGTCTAAATGTATTGTCAGATTAAGAAACATGGTTTATGGGGTTTAACTACTTTCTTGGTATCCCAAATTTATGGAACAAGAATAATAAGGCTTTCCTGTTTCAGTACAGTCATTATTCTCATTTTGTCAAGTCAGCTTTTGGTATTTGCAGTATATTAACTGCGTGGTTTGAATGGATAGTTGTGCAATTTTGAATTCCACTTCCCTCAGACTTTTGTTTTGCTAGGGCATGATTCTTTATTTACTTTTAGTAGCAAATGAATCTCAAGTGCATCAAATATGTACTTTTAGCACCAACATGAACTTTTATTTCCTTGACTCTCTCGCTCTCTCTGTCTCTGTCTCTCTCTGTCTTTGAGGTTGATCCTGTAATTTGGTAGTATTGCTTTTTAGGGTAGAAAATAGCAGCCGAAGTTTTAGATGGTTGACTGGTCAGAAGTAAAACACCAATAATTTGAATTTGCTTCCCTTGGTGATGAACCGTCAGTACTGGCTGATAAAGAAAAGGTCAAAAGAAGCTTTAGAGAAGAGCTTAACTCGTGCTTTTTAGCTTTATGCACTCTTCAAAAGCATTTAGTCATGGAAGAGACCTCTGCTGTACTAAATATGTTGAAAGGGGCCAACAGATACACGTAAGGACCTTTTTCTATAATGCCCAAAGTAACTCACCTATCATCTGTTCTTGAAATTACTAGGATATTCTGAACAGTTTATATTTGGCATGAGCAACACATTGAAAAGTAATTGACAATCAAGAAGCTTCTTTTGGGCGCTGGAACTCAGGCGAAGGAACTTAGTCTTAGATTGCCAAAGTTCATTGCATCTCCTTTTAACCATGACATAGTTGCGCCATCAAGAGAGAGAGAGAGAGAGACAGATAATCTGATGTTTATTGCCAATTCTTTCTTGTTATACTATGGTTGCATATCAAATTGTAAAAACTAGAACTCAAAATTGTTGTTTTGTCTTTTGGATTATAACATAGGAATGATATTGGTTGTGTAAGCAAAAGAATGGTACTTTAATTCTACCACATGGGGTGCAGTTGGTTGACAGAATAATTCTGTACTTTGTTTGTTTGTCGATTGATATTGCTTCCACCAAAAGTCCTAGGCAGAGTGGTATTGATAGCAACAGAAGCCTTTCGCTCTATTGGATGTTCATGGCTCAAAACTTGGAAGATTTCTTGAATATATGTCATAGCAGAATACTTTATGGTTGCAATTTTTAAAAAATATCCAGTCTCTACCAAATGAATTAACATATTTGACCAACTTTAGGATGTGTATGATCATTAGAAGTCAATGAAAAACCATCATTAGTCTGCCTCTAAAACTGTTATTTAGCTTCTAAATTTTTCCTTTATCGTTGGTCATCATGTTAAGCTGAAATTTTTGGTAATGAGATTCATATGGTTGAGATGACAAGAAAAAGTGCTACTGCATATGTTAATGAAAGTTTTGGACCAACTTGACATTTTCATTCTATTATTAGTTTTTTTTCAATTTTTAGGTATTGTTTTACTTCTTTGTTATCAGAGTTTACAACTGAATTTCCATTTAAACAGGATATCCAATGGCTGCCCTGTGATAACACCAGGGGAGTTAGCTAGAAGTTGTTGGTTCAATTCATAAATGTTTTCCTTGTTTGATGTATCCTGATGCGATGTATACCTCTATGAGGATGTCTTGAGAGATGACAAAAAAGCCCAGCTGGTTTCTAGCTCATATCAGTGAAGACTCTAAAGAGCTTTCTTGCTTCCAAAAGTGGAGGAAAGCATTACCAGCAGGGTTCATGGACAAAAGAAATGATCTGCGCTGGACTATTTCTTGACAGCATCATCCCAGACTCAACATATCTCTTTGCAGGTGCCATGCCACCTTAATAGCATTTCGAGATGTGGTTTGGCAGGTTCTGACCAATATGTATACTTCTCTGTTGGAGAGTCTATCCAACTCATGCAGAGTTGAGAAGGCATTTCAGCTATAGCTGGAGAAGACAAAAAGGTTCAGTTCCTGATCTTCTCTTATGTTTTAATCTTATTAAAGGGCTTATCCACGTGAATACATGGGAGAATGCATTTCATTTCTTGGAAATGTTGTCTTCCATTGTGCAGAACTCTTCACTTCTACTATGCCTGCTCCATATACATGTGCGGAAAATAAATTTTTTTGTTAATGGTTGGCATGGTCTCAAGGCTTTGATAGATTTTCCAATTTCTGAAGACTGAATTGTTACAAAGCACATAAAGTAATGGAAGAAGATGATGCAAAGAAAGAGCATACAAAACAGAGCAATAAATGGAGATTATCTTTTGCTTGTGTTGATGTAAAAGATCTAAAGTTGTTGAGATTCCCAAGAACTTTCCACAGCTTGATAGCTTTGGTACTCTTGCTTGGCTGTTTATCTGCTTCTGCCACATTGAAGTTAATTACAATTTGCGGGCTGTTTTTGGTTATATGCACAGTTATATCTCCTTTCCATGGTAAGTTTCCAGTCTGAAAGAGATTTTTCCATTCTTTACCTGTAACTGAAATATGCCTAAATTTGAGCATTATCCGAATGTTTAGCTAGAACTAGTTATGCATGTATTGTTCCTTTAGAGCTGAAAGTTATGTGAGTTACTTTGACAAATTGAGCATGATTTTTGTATGAAATTCTTTGGTCATGTTTGTTTTGTAAAACCTGGCAAAGATAGCGATCTCTCAAGAGGCTGTTAGTCCAAATTAGCAGAGCCTCATGAGAAGTCTGATTGAGCTCAACTGCCTTTGTTAAATAGTAGACTGGTCAGCATTTTAGACGATTTTCAATCCATCTAAAGTTCTAGCTAAGTGTTCTTTTGCTATGTGTTGCTGGGAAAATACATTGTGCTGATGAAGGGAGTGAAAGTTGGCTAGCGAATTGTAATTTTACTTGGGCATACTAAGGGTAGACATTAGTATGATAACAAGAGAAAATGCTTCGCTGTAAACGAGAGAACACGCTGAAATTCAAGATAGCGGATGCTAATTACAGTTTTGGATATTGGGGCTTTAAGTTCAAACAACAAAAGTATTTTCAGTATGAATAAAAATATGCCAGGATGAGTTAATTATAGCTGGTGCTGTTCCCTGATGAAAGAGTTGTGCGACTCTATATTAGAATTACACAACCTATTTTAAATGTTTATTGGTGGCAGCTGTAACATGGTTAATAATTTATAGAGTAAGTCCTTTACCTGTAGCGTGACAAGAGATGGCATGGTATGTGGGTGAATTGGACTGCAGCATCCAAAGTTTTGCCAAAAGGTAAGTTAGGTAATTTATCAGTCAAGATCTTCTAAAATTTGCTTCAATCACATAAACATGATGCGACTTTTTTCTGGTTTTTAGAATCAAAATTCGTGTAAAATTACAGGATAATGATGTGACTTAGTTTTAAGCTGGATTTTTTTCAATGTTATTCTCACAGTTAGCAAAAGTACTGTAGATTCCAGAAGTTATTCCCATTAGCTGTTTCTGTGCTTAACCAGTCTGAGCTTATAGAGGGAGCTCTTACTTGGTTTGGTAGTCAATGCACTTAGCTTCTGGTGCTCATACTTCATTTGGTTGTCAATTTATTGAGCTTCCAGTAAAGTTGTATTAGTTTTCACTAGAGTAGTAATCTTTGAAATCCTTGAATCTGTAAAACTCGGGAGATGCAAAATTCTGTATATTCAGTGTTTATTGGATTGATTTTGATTTTATTTCTAGAAGAATTCTTTTCCCTTTTAACATAGTGCCCAATGATACAACACCTTTCCATAACCAGACTGCCCCTCAAAAGAGTCCTCACATACTATTATCCTTCTGTTTAGTGGGATGTCTCTTTCTCAGACTAATACAATTGATAGAAACTCTTAGAAAGATGCGTGGTGATATTCACCTGCTTCAGGCCTTTGTTTTAAAATGTGACTTTGTACTCAAAACATAAGGATTCCTCCTTGTCTTTGAAGAACTTACTACTGTTTGAGCATCAGGAGGCAGGACATTTTATCATAAGCACACAAAAGAGTACCATTCTAAGTAGCTTTTAGATGGGTGACTAATATGAGATAAAACATGAAGGCAACAGCCGCTTTGATCAATCTACTGATGCTACTCCCCTCGATTTGTGTATCTTGCTTGTTAAAATGGAAACTCTTGCTTCCTCTCTTTCTTTTCTCTTTTGTACTTGTATTCCGAGCCTTCTAGAAGGTCATAGCAGTATATTGCTAGAGGTGAAAATCTCTGGAAGTCAAATTAAAAGGATATTGCCTTCCCCTTTTTAGCCATTTGTGGTTGTGTTTCATCTTCTCAAACCTGTGGAATTATGCCACTACATCTTTAAGAGTCTAGTGTGCCTGATAAACTTGAATTTCCATTGAAGCTAATACAAGAACGTCAATAAGCAAGTTGCAGTCTCCTGCCTTGTGCTTTTTACTTTGTCCATGGTCATGATTGAGATCTTCCAAGTCTTCTAGAATGTTATAGCTATAGATTTACTCAGGGGTGAAAATCTATAGTAGTGAGATTAAAAGCATAATTTGTTTTCATTTTTAGCCATTTATGGTTGTGTTTGTTCTTCCCAAATGTGTGGAAATAAGCCACTTTCTAGGTACTTAAAGAACCTGTGGAGGAAGCATTTTTTGCATTGTTTTGATTTGCTGAACTCTTCAGTACTTTGTAAAACGTGAACATCCTCTGATTAAAGTTAATGTAAGAACATTGAAGGAAATTCTAATTGCTTTTGACGTCTGCTGTAATGAGTGGGATAGTCGGCAAACGCAGATTGATGAATTTTTACTTATGGACTGAATTGATCAACTACATCATATTATTTTTACTTTTCTTTTTTGGATGCCAACCCCAAGTTTTATTAATAAACTGATAGTAAATAGAAAATGAAGGGGGGGCTTAAAGCTGACCTCTAGTACATGATAAACATCATATTATTTGTTTCTTATTTCAATTGACATTTATAATTGTTCCTACCAAATGTTATTTATATATGCTCTCAACCGTGCAGGGTATTCATTGGCTGCTCAGTGATGAGCACCAGAAGCAAAATGCTTAAATCTGCATCCCGTGGAGGTTCCATGCCTATATATAATGACACATGAAGGGATCAGCCGGTGACAATTTTGCGTGGATATGTAGCCTCGATGGCTTTTTGTGCTCTTTCTTGCGACGACCATGGCAAAGAAGGCAGTACAACAACTACAATTTTATCACATATAAAGATCCGCCAAAGACTGTATTTTCTGTGTCACCATTCACCATGTTTTAAGACAGGTCATGCATCAGCATCCTAGATATGGTTCTGGGGCTGGTCATGCATCATATGCTCAGGTGCGTTTAGCTCAGAAATGACCTATCAATCTTGATATGGTTATCAGACCTTGGTGTAATGTTAATGTTGTTCTCTCACTTAATTACGCTGCTAAAACAATAAAGACTCATTTGCGACTTAGCTAATGCAGCCACCGGCAGCTCCAGATCTTCCAACAATTTGGACAGCATCTCTTTGACACCAGAAGTGCAAATTTCACATACACCCCGACAACTTTTGAGACTGCCCCTGGAAATTTTCGTTGATCTCTCAAAGTAGATTGGAGGTAAAATGATACTTGTTACCGTTTGAGCGTTTTTCTTGAGCCGGAATAAAAGACAAGATTGAACATTATATTCATCTTTCCAGGTTTTGGGGGGGCTGCACTACATTTTTGAAGGAAAGAGTGTTGACCCTCAGTGGGGCTTGTATATTAGCCTCGACTAGACGCGCTCTACCTCCAGTTTTCAGCAGTCAGTAGATTTCAAGCTGTACTTGTGTACAAATTACAATAGCCATGAGGTATAAGAGAGAGAGGATCAGTTTCTTCTGTCACAGGTTTTAACAGGCATTATTAGGGTGTGTGTATATGTTTGTGGGGATGTGCTCATGTGAACCAGTAGCCCAGTGAGCCCCTGTGATCTTGGTGTTTAGCAAATTAAATGTTGACATTTGTCCTGATTGGCGATTTTTGCCAAATCGGTTTTTTTTTTTAATTAATTTATTTTTCTCTCTTCTTGAACAGATCAAAAACTTTTATGTCACAATTGAAATCCTCATCACAATGATGACATAATTGTACTATTTTTTTTTTTTTTTTTTTATCAATGACTCTTACCAATGCTTGTGGCTGTTTGCTACATTTCCGTCACAATCTCGCATAGTTTGGTATATTTAAGCAAAAGATATCATGAGATTTCTAAATATTTCCGAAAATATATCAGGAAGAGACAAAAACGATAAGATATGCTTTCATAGACTGAATCCATGTGCTGTCGACAAATTAGCTTGTATTAAAAAAAAAAAAAAGGGTCATTCGGTTTTTAAACTTTAGAAATGATTTAATATGTTATTACATGAAAACTGAAGTGTACATATAGCAGTATTTAGTATTTTACAGAATAAATGAGTAACTGAGGATTTAGTCCCATTTGACGATTATATAATTAAACATCTTTAATAAAACAAAAGGAAGGAACTCCAAGCAAGAATAGCAAATCAAAAGTAGCGATTTGGTTTTGTGACTAATGGTCATAGAATAAGTCTGAAATTAAAGGGAGAAATTGTTTTCACCCTTCATTCTAAAATTTTAGGCACAGAAACAAATTAGAATAAATCTTATATATACTGACAGTATATACACTATCACAATTGGATGCACAACACGTGCAAAATTTGGATTTTAAATTTAAATTCGAATGATGTGTTATGCATCAAATAGTGAAAGTGTATACACTATCCATGTATAGAAGATTAATTCAACAAATTATAAACAAATATTGAAAAAGTCCAGATTGCTATACAATTTGATGAAAATGAGTTCACGAAGACCTCCGTGATGCCAGAGTTAGCTATCTAAGTTGGGCTTAATGAAAGATCAAAAAGTGATTTTCATGCGGAATAGAGATAACGAATGGCAAAACAAGGAAATGAGGCAGTGAAGTGAGATCATCTTATATGCCATACACCATATATACACCACTGGGTATCCGAATTATTACACTCATGTTATACTCTTCGCATTCAAGATTTTGAGGTTTTATTCCTGTCCAGCCCTTATTCAATGGGCATTTACAGACGGCCATTATATCTATCAAGGATTCAACAAAAGAAGAAACAATCTGCAGCCTTAACCATGACACACAGAGCCCTGCAGGGAGGGGTCATTTGCCATCATTGTCACCACCATATTGTGTGGAATTCCCATTCCAGAAGGCATTTCTGTCATTAAACCGGCCATCATCTTCATCATGTCTTAGTGTGTGGATGTTGCTTCCAAAAGGAGATGACTTGAGCTGCCTACTCCTGCTATTGCTGCTTCGGCTGGTTGTATCTGTGCTTCGGTATGCTCCAGAGGATATTCCTGTGCCTTGCAGATCATTCTGAAGTGAAGGATTTGGATCTGAAGAATGAAAAAGCAATTCAAAAAACCCAATGAAAAAAATGTAGTTCGTAGATCCATAACAGATTCAGAAATCAAAATCTACAAAGAAAAAGCATATTCCAACTTTCTCGAGTAGGAATATCATCATTAAAGGAACCAGGATAAAGGGAAGAGAATGGAGTAATAAACTGATGAAATTACTTCCCACAAAAAAAGATCTCCAGGGAACACTCCTTAGAGTTTTCACAAAGAGAGAAGATTAAGATAAAAAATTAAAAAAGAAAAGTGATTTATCACAGAATCTTGGGAAATTAGTTGGACAATAATCAAACAGGAAATAACTGTCAAAACCTTTTACTTTCTGGTTATTCAGGCCCACAAATCTGGTAAGGCTTCCAATGGTCAAAGAAACTTAAAAGCCTCTGCTCTAGCAGCTCTCAAGTTATGACTAATTCGAGATTGTAGAAAGCTGTTATTTCATGAACACTGATTTCCACAAAAATCAACATAAAAAGTTAATTCAACTCACCATATTGCCATATGCGGCTTTGAGATTCCTGTGCAGTAGTATCCTCTGCATTGGTACTTCCACTCAGGTAGGAGATTGGATTCAAGTAAGATAAAATTCTTCTCAGGGATCCCCAATATCCATCATTGCCTTCATTAGAAGAGCTCTCTCTGATAAAATTAGTTTGATCATGCAATGATGATTCTCCTTTAGGGTGCCAGTTAGCACGATGATGCAGAACCAATACTAATGTTTGTCTGCCAAACAAATCCAAATCCTGAAGTGTCTTGCTTAAATCTGTAAAACCCAAAATGTAAGATCACCTAAGCTTACAAGTATGTTGACAGAATCTGCAGATTATAGGAGTCATAAAATTCTAATATGCAAAACGATCAAGGTAAAACTGAAAATTGTTTTATCTGCCACATAAAAAAGCTTTGTCCATGCAAGATAGCTTTGCAGATTTACTTTGCAAATGAGAAGTACAACTTTCATACTAAAAATGCTCAATAGATGTCAAACCAGCTTCTTCTTGCTAGGAGATCATCCTAGTGAATAAAGCAAATCTGATAGTAGCTTCAGTAAAAAACCAACAAGTCTGAGAAGCACAAGCACATCTTTTTGATGCAATAAAAGAGTCCTGAAATGGTAAAGTTACAGAAATTCTGCTCGAACATGTCTAGCTTTCTTAGTACATTTACATTCAATACTTCTCCAGTACTTACCATAACACAGTTCTATTTCTTCATCCTTCTGGTCAAGTGATTTAAATAATCACAAACTTCGTTTTTTTTCAGCATTTCTTTAACTGGGATTTTAGACAGTAAACAGATTTAGGTTTTCTAGATGATCCAAAATTTTACACTAAGAGTTCCTCAACTTTATTAGAATTGCTGGAGTTAATTTGACTTATTTTAATTTATATAACCATAAAATTAATTATACAAGGTAGATCAACCTCTCGGCCACAATAATGACATACTAAACCATGAAAACCCATCTCTCTTCCCCTCCCCTACCCAGATAAAACATCCAGAGTCATACAACAGTGTGTTACTTGATTTCATTTCCCCTTAAGCGCATGCCGTGCAATGTATGCACCAAGATTTGAGACAAAAAGTGGCCCTCCTAGTATATATTGAGGAACTGGTGGAGCATGAGTTAATTCATCTTCAGTTACGAAGGCAAACAAATTACGAAGGTAATTCATCTTCAACCATGTCACTTGCCCCAACATAAAAGAAATGGGAACCTTTTCAAAGGAGATCTGTTTTGGACTGCTACAATGAGTCTTTAACAACAAATGGGAGACAAGGAAAACCAAGAAACTGAAGTTGTAGATCTTGCTTGCATACCTTGTTCACCAAAAACCTTGCGAGGGTAAGGAATTGCTAGATCATAAGAACCAAAGCTGCTTGTTCGATTTTCATCGATGTAGTCTTTGACCATTCTCAAAGTATCCATCACTAAAAACTTCATTTGCAAACTAGATCCATCAGGTAATCTAATATTTAAATGAACCTCATTTGATTTATTGGCTGAGACCTTCAAGAAATCATCCTTTTCAACTTTATTAGCTCCTGTACCCTCTTTAGTGATCTTTATAGAAGAAGCTTCCTCTTTAGCTTCTAAATGGTGACTGCTCACTTTTTTTTCTGTAACAACCAATTCATCTTCATTATTGATAGGATCCTTCCCATGAGGATTAATCGAAATCTCTGCGGTCTCACTGGTGGGGGTACCATCTCTGACTTCACCACATGCTATTTCGTTGGCTGAGGATGACTGAGCAGTTGCCTCATGAAGCTGTTCGAGTTTTTCCTGCTATGAATGTTAATGAACAAAAACATTTAATCCAAGTCTTTGGATAATCTATCGCAAAAAGCTAAAATTTACCTCAGATGCACATTCCAGATGATTGTTTTCCTCTACTATCTCAGGATTCACTGATGGTCCAACCTCCGGAGAATAATTCTGTGGAGCTGCAGGAGATGATAACTCATTTGTCCTTGAAGAACTCCCTTCCTCGGATGAAGTTCCATCAGAAGTTCCAGAAGCAGGTTGCTTTTTCGAGGCAAGTGCGGCAGACAAGTAAGTTGCAGTTGTCTCCTAAAAATAATCATAAACCAAGTTTCATACAAGTAATAATTAAGGGACTCAAAAAATGACGATAGGATGATTCAAAAAGAACTTAAAATAAAGGAGTAAACCAAGAGTAAAATACAGTATCTTTACTTTCATATATAAACACTAAGGGATATCAAATAATGATGGACACCTGCAGCCTTATTTTTCCACAGCGCAACAATAGTGAATTATGGTATTTACTTCCATATACAAATACTGAAGGAAATCAAACAACATCCTTATCTTCCCATGAAAATGTTTTCGCAACATACTACAGCAAAACGTAAGAGAGGAGAGGGGCACTGGCATCTGTTCAAAACAATTAGCAAATACCTGAATATGAACACTTAACCATGCCTTTTCGATGCTGGATGATAAGGCATCAGCAGCAACAAAGCCTTCTGTTGGTCCACGAGTTCAAAACAAAAGTATGATACTCAGATTGCTTATTCAACTCCCCCAAGATGTCAATAAGAAGAATTCAATTCTTGAAAGAATTCCATACCGTACTGCCAGAGCTGTACACCATTGTATCCAACAGCTGTTGTGCATGGGGCAGACTTCTGGGGATCTGTGAAGACTGATTAAAGAAAATGCATGACCTCTCAATGCTACATACTTTTAACTATTGATGGTGCAAATAAAGCGATCATCACGGTGACACTTAAGTCATTAGACCATAGATAGCACTTTACCTTGCAACATGTCAAAGGGTATGCATATAAAGATTTATAATCTTTAAGCATGTTAAATCTGTTAGATGGGCTTTGATATACAATAAGTTGCTTGCAGTTTAACAGGATAGTTCACCACCAGATTAACAATTGGAACACAAATCCATCGCTTACAGCCAGATTAACCAACATTGGAAACAATAAAGCAAAATGTTGTATAATAGTTCTGCTACACAAACTCCTTTCAGGTATAAAATGAGAACTTAAGAAAGCCATTAATGACTTTGTCTTCTCAGACATATCGAACCAGACTGAATACGATTTGAAAAGCCACTATGGCTCCCTATCTGCTGTTTGTGCTTAGAAAGG